TTTCAAAATGTGATTGAATGGATTTACTTGGGGAAGGAAGTGCAGGAGTAAGGCAGTTGGTAGTTTTATTAGGTAATGAGTTTGTACTTTTGGATTGAGTATATTTTGTTTCCTATTGCGGAGATTGTGAAGTATCGATTTTATTTGATTTGGGTTGTGAAATGGGTAACTCCACGTTTTCAACAGGGGTGTAGGGTATGTTAGGTTTGTATGTGGATGATATGTTTGCCAAATTTTCTGAGTTGGTCAAATTAGTTACTACTGTGTCTGTACATTTATTGTCTAAACTTAAGAAACTATTTTTAATGGGTGGTGGTGGAATATTGGTTTTGGGAGATGGAGTGGTATTTGGTTTCCTGGTATTTTCTTTGGAAAGACTACAGTAGTCCAAGGTCCATCTTGAGTTTCGATGGTTTTCCTTTTATCTACCTTTTCTTTTTCTTTTTTGGATTTTTTTTCCCTTTTCTTTTTCTTCTTCCTTTTTTTCTTTTTTATTTTCAGTAGAGTTAGTAGACGTACCTAGGTCCATGTTGCCAGGTTTTATACAGTAATAGAGTGTATGTCCCAAGCATCCACAACTCTGGCATAGATATGTTGTGATCTCATAATGTATTTTTGAAGATGTTTGCCAATGAGTAAGTCCTCGGGCACTGGTTTTCCCAATTGTACCAATACGCATAATCTGGCGTTTCTTCCCCTGCTTGTGTTCCTTGTGCAGCTATCGATTTTAAGGATTGATCCAATTTGACTATCAATTTTTCGTAGAATCGTACTATTCCGTTGATAGTTTTGGTAGTGAGATCCAGATTGTGGAGAAGGTAATTGGGTCTTGTGTGGAGTTGAATTTAGGTTCCCATTTTCTGATCCTATAAACCAAGGGCCTTTATGCATAACTTTGACATAATTCTCAGTGTTGGTGAATTTGATGAGGTAGTAGTCATCTCCAAGATCTATCACATGTAGATCCTCATTTAGGTTATAGGGTGATTTGAGTTTGTTTCTAAGAAACTTAAACCCTACTCTTTTGCATACTAATTTAGTAATAACTGCTTGTTGCCAAGGTGCGTATAATCTATTTTTTTCGGATGAAGTGATTGAAATAAAGTAAGGGTGTTGGGTTGTCGTGCTCATCTTCCAGATTAAAGTGATTGAAATCACGTTGAATGCTATCTATAGGGATAAAACAATTGTCTATGAGTATTTTGTGTCGAAAGCTTACTGTTTCAGTCGATTCTCTATGATTGTTTGTCATTCTTGTTGAGTAGATCTTCCTCTTGGTCAGTCATATGATCATCAGTGGAGCCCAACTTCTGAAAAGTGTGGTTGATTTGGTGGATTGTGAAGGGAAGTATAGTCTTCTCTCTCTAGAAGTAGAGAGAAAGCAGAGAAAAGTTATTATACATATTGAAATTGTTTTTGAGTCTCTTTCTATCATACTCGAATTAGGCGAGAAATTTAATTAAGATAAAAGGAAAATGTTAAATTCAGAGATAATAGAGATAAACAAAAAGGGTAAATTTAAGTCATTTTCACATTAATGCTAATAGTTTAGTAATACTGGCAGAAACTTATCACTAAATAAGTGTGAGTTTAATTTTCGTTGTTTCCTTTTTAAGTAATATTTTCTTTATCACACATAGAAAGTCATTTTCTATTTTAATGTATTTAAGACCAATAGTTAGTTCCATATTACAATCATATTGCCTACAAAATTACAATCACGTGCATGGTATATGGACAATGAATCCGTTAGATGGAAGGGTAAATATATTCAAAAAGGTAACGTCGAGGGCAAAAACTTTCGAATAATATAATAAGGACTATTTATAACTAATTTCTAATATTAGAGGAGCATATTTAGACCTTTGACGTTCTTATTCATACTTGAAATATGAAGTGAATTTTTGACATTTTTTGAAAAGTTAGCATCTAATAAGTACTACGGGGACAAGGGCTTTTCGATTTTTTTGTTGGCAACAAGGTCCCTTCGGTAGATATTTTATCATTGAATTCAGTTTGGTTATTAAGAAAAAAAAAAGTAGATGAATGAAATGTCTCAAGCTAAAATTGCTCTATTGTCAAAGAAATATACTTGAAGGGACATCTATGAAATTATTATCCATACAAAATGAAAAAAAATGCATAAATCAACAAAGAGCATATGAAAACGTGAGAAATAGGACATCATAAGGGGTGGTCTTTAACTTTTAGCTTTTAAGGTAAGTTATCTTACCAATGGAAAAACCTTTAGCATCAAAAGTCAAAGGTTATGCACTATAAACTTAAAATTTTATATATTTGATCAGGTGAGATGCCCCTAAGGTCAAAAATTCAAGATCTAACTCCAAAGTCATTTGCGAACTTCACAGAATTGCACATCATAAATGATATCAGGGGACGAGGGCTATGGGTTGGACCTAAAATAAATGGGCAAGCTCATCATAAGGGCTTTGCTTGTTTGGGCTTTGCAGTTTCTTTTGTTACTTTTTTCTTGGGAAATCTACACAAAATGTTCATTTGGGCCAAACTAATTATCCACTCAAAACCTTTTACATAATATATTCATGCGATCTAAAATATTTACCCTGACTTTACTGTTACATTCCCTTTTTGTTACTAATTCTCTGTCTTTTTGTGTTTTCTCTTTCCTGCTTTTTCGTAATTAACCTAACTTTTCTGTGACTTTCCCTTTCTCCCATTAATCACTTTCTGTCTTTTTGTGTTTCCCTCTTCTGTTTTTTTTTACATTGCAGGTTATTGATCGGCGACAACCACCTAAATTTGTCACGATTTTCTACTTAGACACCTTAATTGAAGATATTTCCAATTAGACATTCAAACTATCATCAAAGTGTGTCTATTGGACACTACACGCTGACATGTCATATGTTGTGTTATTCATCCACATTTGAGCGCGTAAGCTAACATGGATCTGTTGACCGAACTTTTCTTTTACTGTTTATTTCGTCCCTCATCTTCATCTTCTTAAACAAAAATATTATTGTTGTCAAACTCATTCCTCTTCCATTTCGTGCCTACTTTTTCTCCAGCAAGTTACTACCTTCGCACCAAGCCAATGTGTTTTATTCCAAAGACTACAAAAGGGAATTATTTTTTTCGCTGTCTTTGCTCATTTGCTATGTACTTTTGTATGTTTCTCATTTGAAAGATCCAAATCCATGAATTTGAAAAGTATATCACTAATCAATAGTTTTTCCTTAAAAAAATATAAACCAATGAACTTTTTCATTCTTTCAACATCCTCACTGGACAACGTGCACTAATTTTTTTTTACTCTTTTGAAAGAACAAAATCAACAAATTTTGATTTTCCTTTCTCTTATCCTTGTCAAACCACATGGAATGTAAGAAAATATCATGATTATATAAAAAATAGGATTTTCAGAAGCAAAGAAGCCATTTATAGTTGATAATAATAAATCAATAATCTATTCGAAACCACATTAATCTGAGTGTATATTAAATGTTGAATCCAAATTACATTTGAAATCCTCAACTTCGACCAATGGAACATCCAACAAAAAAAAGGAGTAAAGTCATCCTATTCTCCTTCCCCGAAGAACGTGGTAACTAGAGAAGGGAAAATGGGTAATACACTATGAGGGGATTTACTCCGTCGTTGGAACGAATGAAGACATCGGAGAAGAAGAGCCAATGATTAGTTGTGGGGATTAGTAAATTCAAGGTGGATTTCTTTTAATTGATGTGGCTGTTTTTAACTGGTTACTCTGTCACGTAAGCAGCGTTTGAACTTCACACGCTGATCTTTTCTTGGGACTGAGATTTTAGTGTCCAATAGCCACACTTTGACCGTAGTTTGAGTGTCTAATAGGAAACATACTCAGTTAAAGTGTCTAAGTGAAAAATCGTCACAAGTTTAGGTGGTTGTCTATGTATTTGGCCATATTCATCTCCTTATCATATGTGCTTTTGTTTGAAGGTTTCAAGAGCTTCTTTGTACTTTTTTTCATGTATTCATAGATCAAGATCCCCCGATCCAAAAACGTCTGTTAATGAACTCCATGGATAAGTTAATTCTTCAACCACATACATAGGTGGATCCAGGATTTAAATTGTATGGATTCAGCTTTAAGATTGCGTTGAACTCATTATACAGTTAAAATTATGTGTTCAAATCTAATACTTGTTGAGATTTTAATAGCTTTTTACATATATATATTCATACTCTATGTCGAAAGTTATAAGTTTAGTTGAACTCGTATCCGAAAAGCTACATCCGTTCCTGACCACATACTGCGATTAACTAACTCTGAGGATTATTTTTACTAGAACTTATTATATGATACACGATCTAATGGCAAGGAAAAAATGAAATAAAATAAGATTTTTTTTAAATAATAAAGCTAACAACACAATATATTATAATAATATGCAATATTTCGGCTGAAACTTTAATAAATACACATTTACCCAACAATATACCACTACAGTATCAAAATATATTGTAAGAGTATATAGTATACTACACCAATATACTATAATAGTATACATATATACTGAAACAATATACTATAATCGTATGCAATTTTCAGTAGAAATTTAAATTAAAATGCAATTACCCAATAGTATACAACTACTGTATCACAATATACTGTAAAGTATACTATAATAGAGTATACATTGTAACAGCATACTATAAAAGTATACATGCATATCGAAAAGTTATATAGGTAGGGTCGCGTAATTATTTTGTATGGGTAAAATCAGAATAATTATTTTGATTTCTATGGGTTATATATCCCCTTCTTTCACAGAATTGCATGGAGTGTCCCCTCGGGATTTCTATTCATTTTCTGTCCCCATTTTAAAAAGTTGTGAAAAAATAAGCTTCTTTTGTTTTAGAAGCAAGACAAATAACCTTTTGTCCTTCTATTCTTCCACTTTTTTTCCAACTCTTTTTTCTTCACCAAGAACACCAAAAAAATTCAACCATACCAAGCAATTTTTTTACCATATTAGTGCATAAAACTTAAATGTTGGAAGTGGTTGATAATGTACAAGTTAACTGCACTAAAATGTTGGAAGACTTACCAATGATCATTTTGCCTACTATATATTGCCGAATGCCCATTAATGGGTATTGCTTACATGTTACAATTATCATTTAAAGTGGCTATGTAATATATTGACAGTTCCACATTTATATCAAATGACAAAACTAGACTTCCTTTCTTCATTTGAATGGTGTTGCCACTCCTAATTTTGTGGAAGAATAGCCAAGAAACACTTTTTAAACTCCTATTGGGGCGTGCCTTGCTTTATTGTTGCAGAAGAGCCAGTAACTTGTCCCTCTATGCTTAAGCAAAAATAATATTAATTAGTTGCTTGTTCATAAGAATTAGAAGATTAGCACAAAAATTAAACTTGAGTAGAAAACTGTTGACTCAATTACATAGGAGGTCGAGTGCCAAATGCCAATTCGCCTAAATGTTCACAAAATTAAACAAAACTAAGTTAGAGTGCTAAAAGTTAATGTTACCTTGATCTTGAGGAGCTTCTAAATCATTTTTTTGGGAAGCTTCCTTGGATAATATAAACCTTGAGGCTTTCATGTCTTTTCCTTTTCCCCATAGCACCACATATAAGCCCATTATTATAAGAAATCCACCTAATACACTGTCCATGTCCAACAAGTTAGCCCAATAAGAACAGATATTAAAAGTTTCAAGAGTTCAACATCTGTTTTTCTAGTAAAAATAACACCAGGTAGCCACTCTAAATGACTACTATTTAGGAATTAGCCAATATATCATAAATTTTATTTTTTCAGTTCAATTTTTTGGGACACAAATGTCTTGAATTATTCTGAAAATAAGATTTCTAGTTCAAATTTCCAGAACAAAATGAGTATTGGCTAATCCCTATATAGAAGCCCTAAGAATGGTTGTTTGTGCACTTTCTCCGGTTTTCTAGCTTAATAATGATTAGCTACAATTCAAAAGGATCAAACTTTTATAATAGGAGAAAAAGAAAACAATTTAAGTTTACCTTCCAAGATACAAGGTTTCATCAAGCAGTAAAGAACTAGCCAGTGCCACAAAAAGAAGGATTAAAGGGTTGAAGACAGAGACAAATAGAGGGCCTCTTTTCTGAGAGCACCATGTCATCAAAATTACCACAATTCCAGACCCTAATGTTCCCTGCATAAACAACACTATAGATTAGCAACTATAGTATTATTATATATAAAAAAAAATATAGAAAAATTAATCTAAATAGCTGCTCGCTCAACCACTTAAACTGAAAATAGTCTACAAATGTATAATACATGTATATATATTATATAAAAAAAAAGAGCAGCCTGGTGCACAAGGCATCCGGTTCATGCAGGGTCCGGGAAAGAGCTGTCCCCAAGGGATGTAATATAGACAGCTTAACCCTATCGCTAATGGCTGCTTCTACGGCTCCACCCTGTGACCTATAGGTCATACGGAAACAAATTTAATTAATGTATAATATGTATAACGGCTAGAAAAAGTAAATAATGAATCCGACAACCTATTTACATTAATTAATTTATAAGTAGTGTATTGTTATATATCTTACAAGATAGACAACAACGAATAATCTTCTGTCCCAACCAAGCTTCCATTGAGCACTTTCTCTGTCGAAGCATAATGCAAATATGACTGACTGAATAGATCCCATTAAGCTCATCAACGCTGTGCTTGAGTAGTGGCATGGGTAGTTTTTACTCACCTTTGCCTATTGAAAAAGAAAAGGACAATTAGTTCTCCAATCTCCACTACTTGAAACTTTAACGACTCCAACATATTGAACATTATTGATTCAACTGAGATTCAACAAGACTACTTAGAATATATTATATAGTGACGTAAAAAGAAAGAAAAATAAATAGTTTTGTTAGTTTGATTTGGTAATTAAACAAATTATAAGTTTAAAATAAATAAACAAACAAACAAAGATTCTGAACTGAACGAGTTGAATTATGATCCATTGTTTAGCTCAAATTGACCTGCGAATTAATCTTAACCCAACTAGTTTTTCGACAGGTTGTGACTCAAATCCTTTAATGATTCAAGGGACAATTTGGCCCAAATTTCGCCAACCTGCTCAGTTGACACCCTTACTTTTTTATTATACTTAATTCGGAATATCACAACTAATTACGCTGTTTGCTAATCCTTAGGAATACAATCTAGTGTGTTCTCTAACTGGTATAAGTAACAATAAATTATAATTCTCTTTAAATGTTGTGACGGAAGTAACTAACCATGTATACAATGTATATTATGCTAGCAAATGCGACAAGAAAAGTTTATAAATCTCAATTTAATAGAAAAAGAAAAGTGAAAAGGACAGAGTAGAGGAATTATATACTTACCAATAATACTATCCAAAGTGAATAACAAATGCAAGAGGTTATGGCGAGTACAATTCCCAAAGCAAAAGTGCCAGGTAATTTCTTGTGTGACGTTGCTTCATTAGAATGATGTAACAAATCAATTTTGATAGGCCACATATGCACCTCTAAACCTTTGTATAATGTCAATACCATTGCTCCACCAATACATATCATTGTCCCCATCACTTTAGCTTTCCCACTTGCTTTTTCAAACGATAAATTCTCGAACCTATGAACATTAGAACAAAAAAATCATGTTAATGACATATTCTCTAAGTTATCTTATTTGCAAGCTGACTAAAATTATTAAAGATTTTGAAATTTAAAAAAACTTTTCGTGAAAAGTAGGAATATGGTACTGTGGTCGTCAAAATCGGACATGATAACTAAGAAAGGGTTTCGCCTAGTTTTTCATAATTATATGATACCACTAAATGGTATTCTCAAGTTTTATCACTTGCCCCTAAAATATAATAGAAATAATCTCAAACTTAGTTCAATAATATAATCAATTTTAGATGAGTTAGCATGTAATTTTTGGCATGTATGAAAAGATGAAAAGATGGTATGTACATGTTAGGTGCATGTCTATCACTTTAACTATGGTTAGTTACTAAGTCTCGTCCCAATTTATCATAAATCGTATGGTAAATAACATCAGTTATAAGTAAATATTTGTCATTGATGCATGTGTACTTCGTTTTTTTCCCACACCATTTTCCTTCCTCGAATATTTAAGAATAACATAAGAATTATGCAGAATATCTACCTGAGAAGGACTGCTATGACAAAAGTCATTGCTGGGATAAGATTGTATATTGCGGTTGCAAATGTCGCAGATGTCAATATCACACTTGTATAAAATAAAATCGAAAACAACGAACCCCTGAGAATATACAATTAGAGGTAAGATTACATGAATTTGTTAGCCCTTTCTTCATGTTAGTATAAAAGAATTATGGTAAAACGTAGGTAAATTATGTGTATATCAACACAATTATTGAGTCATTTATGCTGATGAATCAATAGACAATTTCATGGTGGTGTTTCATTTCAATTTGTTCGTAGAGATAGAATCAGAAATTAAAAAAACAAAAACTTTATTCTTTTTGGTTCAAAAGGTGGTAATATTTAGACCTGTCAAAACGGGCCAGCCCAGCCCAAGTATCGTAGATTTTTAAATAGGGTGGGTTAGGATGGGCCGGCCTGTCATTAGAATGGACCTTAAAATGGCCTGTCCAACCCAGTCCTAAGAGGGCTGCAGGCTAGAGTCTGGTTGGCTCTTCATTTTTTTTAATAAAAATAATCCTTAAAAATCATGTGAACAACTTTTATTTGCTTAGAGCATACAAGAAGCTTGATATTTGACAAATGATCTTGTAATTAAAATGCAAATTCTATATAACTCTAGCTCTTTTTTTTATATATATATATATATATA